TTTATTTTGCCAGTTTAGGTGTGCCATAGGTTTGAGACTTTCCACTAGCGAGAGTTTGATCATCAGCAAAAAGGAGTGTGGAGAGGCCTCTGGAAGTGTTTTTCTTCCAAGCATCTGCTTCCTGATGCTGTGCTCAGATGAAACGTGTCTGAATTGCCACTATTATTATTTTTGCAGTTAGACAGATCATTCAAAAGGGACAGTTTCGGCTATTCTGTCTCCTGGTAGCATTTTGAACCTTGTGGTTATCCAGCCATATAATGACTGTAATAGCTAGTGCAGTCAGCCTGCTGTAATTGTACCAGAGTTTTATTTGATTTTCTTGGTGACCTGGGTTTGCTGCTTACTTTGTTGGGTGTGTGATTGTGCCCTGGAGGAGATAGGAGACAGGACATGCACATCATGATAGAAAGAAAATAATGCTCTTACCACTTCTGATCTTAAACTAGGTGACATTAAAAAAAGAGATATTTACATCTTAACATGAGTGTATCCTGCAGCATTCCCATCAATAAATGTTGCTGACATCAGATATGCTTCTTGAGCATTTGGTTTATGTTCTCCTTCTGTGAATAGGCTCCCAGCAAACATTTCATGCTTTTCAGCCCGATGCTGTATAAACATTTACTTGCACACTTTCGGGAGTCCCATGCAAGCGACCATCACAGTAAGCAGAGCAGCTCATATATTTCCTCCCATGGACATCTCATGGGACTGAATAGAGAAGCAGCAGAAAGAGCTACCCCAGTCAACTCACCAACAGCAACTGGGTCAGTAAGGTGTGGGATGGGAATTTGCCACAGGTGAAGGTAAAAAACCAAGACTTTATTATCCTCCAGTCCTTTCAGAAGATGCCTGTGAGTTACAGAGTTTTCCAGGCAATCCCAGGGGGATCGTCACAAATGCTTCGAGATGGGCCTTGAAGTTTGAACTCAGCTATGTTTTTATTAATTTATTATTATCTAATGGACAGCAGCCTGGATTGGAAAATGCTGTCCTAGGTGGGAAGTGTGTCCACGCAGTGGTTAGTCTGTATTAAATTGCAGTTATGGAGGATCAGGCTTTACTGTGGTAGGAGCTGCAGGGCAGGAGGAAGGTCCTGGCCCCTGTCCCAAGCAGCTTTCAAACTAGTGGGAATAGTAAATGCATGCTGGAAAGAGAATTGGCATATATTGGAGTTACAAAATATATTTTGTTTAAAGAAACACCTCAGATGATGGCTCTGCCTGTAACAGAGAATTTTCATTTCAAAGAATTCATGACAAAGCCTTTTTATAGCCGTTTTAAGAAAAAAAAGCTTCACAATAAAGGACAGTAAATTTGAGGATGTAATTTGGAAAAGACTCTTAACTGCATTTTTAACAGCATCTTCAAGCTATTTATGTTTTTTAAGGAATAATCCAATTACTTGAACTAAGTCACTGTAACTTCAGTGGTTAGCTGTATCTCAGGATGTTAATTTTCGCAGTAGAGCAAGTTATACAGTTTGTGTTCTCAACTGAAATGTTAATGTTTATCTTGAATTATTACACAGTAATGCTAGTTCTAAAGACATTTCCTTTCTTCAGGGTAAAGGAGAATGTCTCTGAACACGCTGACAGGTAGATGTTTACAAGTGCTGGTGATTTCAGGTTTTATTGTGACCTTTCAGAGTTGTTCCTGCATTTGATGTGGACTAATTGCTTAACATTTCTCATTGTTTTCATCAGGGAGTAAGTGCTTTGTACCTATCCAGATTTATGTTCTTACTGTTGCATTGCTCACTCGCTTAGGTCATACCACAGCTCCTCATTTAGTGCAAACTTTCTGTGTCTTGTATGATGGAAACAAAGATTTGATATATCTTCATATTTGAAAATTATTATTAGACAGCAAATGCTTTATGTAAGGAAAAATATGTTAGCTGCTCATATAAATGCCAAGGATTCTTTTGATAGTTAGTGCTATCAGATTATCAGAGCCTCATGCTAACATTGTGTCTTCTGCCAACTTCCTGGGACACCTCAGCCATTCACTTAGTATCTATAGTATCTTAGTATATATACACACACATATATTTAAAAAATATAATGTTCCCCTCTTGTATTCAAAATGAAAATGCAGCATTTATGTATTTCACAGAATGGTTCTGAAAACCAATGCACTGAAGACTGGAGTGGTCAAATATGTTAATATGGGTTTCAGAGCCACAGAAAATTCTGCTAAGCAAGTTATTTTTGAAAAAGTTATGATTTGTTTCTTGTGGGAGTTGTGGCAGAAGTCGAGTTTATAGAACAATTTGAACCAGGACTTTTTAAAGAGCTGATAGAGCTGATCTGAGACACGGCACTTGAAGCAGAGAAAGGGCATAGGAAAGAGGTGGTCAAATAGGATGTTACAGCCGGTGTCATTAGTGTGTGGTTTATAGATTCATTTTTTAATCTTGTCTGCTTACATAAATATGATTTATTAAGTGGATATAAAATTTAGTCACCTCAAGGGGTATTTTATATCTACTCTTATATATAAAAGATTTGGAAACCTAATCAATATCTGCATAGATGACTTCAGAGGGAAGCTTTCATGTTACAGGAAGGATGGTGCCCTTCTGTGTCAGCAGTATGGAATAACTGCCCAAAGGCAACATGAGATTTTGCTACAGGAGCTGCCAGTTCTTGGATGAGTCCTGGAGCAGAGGTTTATTCCCTATGGATTAATGTTCTTGCGCTTTGTTGGTTTGGTTTTTTTGTTGGGAGTAAAGTATCCAAATTTTGACCAATAGTCTAGCCTATATTAATTTTCTTTGTTTTCATCTGTATTTAAAGTGGGCATCATACTTTGTATTTCTTGGTTTTAATTGAAGCATGTAACAAAACATCCATTTACAAAGCAAAAGTGGCAATCTCTGTCAACACTCACCTAACAGTGAATAAAGCAGCCCAATATAACATTGGTTAAGGATAAAAAATTTATTGTTATATGATTACTACTTTAATGATATAAGCATTAAAAAATTACTAGAATAATTTGCTGTAGAATTACAGTGAGTGGCTATCAAATATTAATAAATAGAAAGCACATACTGCCTACTAACTTCATATGAAACATTGTTTGAATTAAAGCCATTTGCCATTTTAAAAATGAGGCCTCATTAGATTAGATTTTTTCAAAATTGAGTTTTGATCTGGTTCCATTTTTAATAGATAAGTTGAACACTCCTGACAAGAGGGAAGAGGATATTAATGGAATTATTTTCTGACTTTTAATGACACAAATGCTAGAAGGCCACCCTCCATTAGTAAATTTTATTACAATTTATATACTGACTCCTGGTCAAGAATATATTGCAGAAAGGTCACAGAAGACCAGCTGGCACACAGCTGTAAAACAGTTTGAAGGAATGTATTTGGTATTCTCTACCCAGAGCAAATTGGAGACACACTGATCAGAGAAAGGGAAGTGGGAAGCGATGACTGAACTGCCAACACACCTGGTCCTGCTTCCTCATCCCCCCAGTGGCACTTACGCCAAATATGTGTTGTCCCTGCAGGACATAAAGTGCTTTGATACTTCATTTTGTGAAATTATTTGTACTCTGTGGATGAAAAATATTGTGTAAGCAGAATATATTAATTTAATTTTTTTTTTTTTCCGTCAAAGAAATAGAGTAGGGAAATAAGTATATGTGTATAAAGCTTTGCACTTGGAACTTATAAAAATATGCTTGGGATATATGGTATAGAAAAGACTCAAAGCACAGATTCTGTACAGCCAAGCCATAAAATAACTTTACTTGCCTGAAATAAAAAAAAAACCCACAAAAAACCAATCACATCTTCCATTTTTCCAATCTTAGGTTTCTAGGCTTAGTCAATAACACCTGCTCATTTATCAGCCCCACAAAAGGCAAGTGACTCCTTGTCACCCTGGTCCTATGCCCTGGTACCACACTTGCTGCTCACACCCCAGCGTTGCACAAAGGAAGGATGCAGCTCTGGGGCTGTTTGCAGGTGCAGCACCCTGTGGTAGCATCTCTGTCCTGGGGACACTTGCCGTGTCTTCTCCCTTCAGTCTGACAGAAATTGTCACAGTGTGACAGACTGTCCATTAGGCATCATTAGCAGCCAGGACCAACAAATCACTGCAGGCTCCTTGCTGAATGAAGTCCTAGCTACTCACACAATTACCAGTACTGATCTGGTACCATTTATTCTCTCAGCCTCTGTGTATTGAGAAAGAGACACAGAAAGGATGAGGATTCCAAGCTCATACTGTCAATTTAATTTTTTTTTTCTAGTTTGTAGTAGACTCTGAACAGATTTGATCTAAATTCTAGAGCCAGTGTTATTGTGAGGAACCTGAAATGGCTGGTGCTTATACAGCTTATCTATTTTTAAATTAAAATCCTCTTCAGCCCTCAGAATATCAAATTTGCCACTCTACTTTTCTGTAAGGATCAGTTACGTTTGGAATTGAAAACCTGAAAGACTTGGAGAGTGCACACTATCAATATTTTATGGCCTGCAGTGAAAGATTCTTAACCTTTTCATTCTAGTTTCTCTGATAACGCTTTCTCCCTACATCAAAATGAATTTTAATTGATTCCTCCACTGTGCTTTTGGACTCTCTTAGGATGCTTCCCATTGAGATCTGCTGTTTATGTGAAATCAGCTATGACTGTTTTTCAGTTTACACAAGGGACTCTTAAGAGGAGGGTGCTTGGTCTAAAAGATTCCAGATTTCTGATTCCTGATCCTCAATATTCATTTATCTGCCAGGCTCAAATAACTAAGTTACACTTCAAAATAAATCGAATAGTAAAAATCCAATAATCCTAATTTACCGGCAACATCTATAAACATTTATCTTCTATCCAGTTGGAATGGACTTTGACAGATCTGCATGTGTTTAGCCATAGCAAGCACAAAGCAACACCTCTGCAGCTGTGTTATGCTCACCCTGAGAATTTCTCTGTGCTGCTGAGACAGGAGAGGTAATTGGATGTTCTTCCTTTCTGGCAGGTACTGGACTGGATTGAAAATCATGGCGAAGCCTTTCTGAGTAAACATACAGGAGTGGGGAAGTCTCTACACAGAGCACGCGCGCTGCAGAAAAGACACGATGATTTTGAAGAGGTAGCACAGGTAAGAGTCCGAATCCAGAGATTTCTGCTTTCTGTCTTGATTTTTGTTATTCCTCTTGTATATTGAGGAAAAAGCAATTGCTGTTTTGGGTCACACTGGTCTCTTGAAACATTTGGAGCTGACCAGGATCCTGTCTCCCAGGTTTGAAAGGCAGCACGCACCGCAGAGCATGGTAGCTGCAGGACTTGTAATCAGAAAATCAGCACATGGGGTTGATGGGAGGTCTCAAAGCCTGTGAGAAATTGCAATCAGTTTATGGGACAGTAATGCAAAGTGTTGGGACATAGAGGAGGATGGTTATGAGTGAGAGCAATAGAAAAATCACTTGTAACTCCTACAGTGGAATCTGAGGGCCTTGAGAATACGATGGAAAGCGGCATCTATTAAAGAAGCAGAGGAAGCACTAGAATATGTTTGCAGTAAGGGCAACTACCCTCCACTCTTTCTGAGGGTACAGTGTGTTACATGGGAGGGGTTTTTGTTTGGTTTGGAACGAGAGGCAATCATTACAGGTAGGCATTAGTAGTAGTAGTTATTTTCCTCATAGCACAGTGTAAGCAAGTCTTGTCCAGGAATTTTTGGTATGAAGCCAAAAGCTTCCCCCTAGAAGCTTATAACTTTTCCTCAAAGCATGGTCATAGTAGATATTTACACATATATCACATCTATATTTATGGAATTTAAAAGAAAGAGGACCGTTGATAAGTCCTTCCAGGGACTGAATAACTTTTTTTTTTTTTTTTAAGTATCTTATGGCCAGAAATTACGCAGTCTAAGCTCTGGCTGTCAGATCACGTTACAGCTTTTTGTGTTAGATTTGAAGCATCCTCTATCAGAAATTGATCTTCTGTAAAGGTACTTCTGCTTTGGGTATTTCAGATAAAATTCTGATTAATCTATGTGAAGCAGAATGTATCAAATGCTTTGTATTCCTGATGCACATAAGGCAGGCCATTGCTCAAACATTTCACTGTGGCATAAGAAAAAATGTATTAGACTTCAGGGTTTTGTTTTTCTGTAGTACCCTTTCCATGTTCTTGCCTATTTTATTTTAAGATGTTCCCAGGATAGGGACATACCTCTTTCACCGTGCCCTCAGGGAAACTATTTCATTGCCTGATGGCAGCTACTGGCTAGATTATTTTTTTTCCTCTCCCTCATATTCAATTTATATTTCTCTCAATCTACTCCCCCACCCTTGTTTATATCCCTTTAGTCTTATTTCTCTCTTAGGGAGATAAATTCCAGGGAAAGAGATGAATTAACAACCCTGAAATATCTGTAGAATGTTAGCATGTCTTCTCTGTGCCTCTTAACCATGTTAAACATATCTAATTCTGCTAGCATGATCTTATTAGCTATTCCCTTAAATACCTTTTGTTACATATTTCTTTGGACCCATTCAGTTTGCCAACATCCTTTTAATTAGATGTTCAGCTCTCAATAGAATATTTTGTTGCTTGGCTTGCTAATGAACTTCAGTGCTACCTTTCAGCTGTGATGGGATATCTTTGTGTACCATTGACAAATCACACAGTCTGAAAGCAGCGGTTCCAGATTGGTGGGTCTCTAAAATTTCATGAGACCTCCCATGGATTTAAGCCTTCCGATAATAGGTTTGAATTTCTAGAATTACCTTTCACAATTTTAGTAAAATGGACCTTAGTCTGGAGGTTGCAAACCATGATACTACAAGGCCTCATCCAAAAGCAAAAGTTAATGGGAGGTTTAATCCTACAACCAACATTAGGTGTCTTGCCAGAAGATGTGTTTGAATCAGCTGTTATTGGATACAATACTTGGGCAAGGAATGAAAATTAAGATCATGTAATATACAGGAGCTGAAACTAGGTGACTTAATGTCCTTTATGGCATTAATATTTCCTAAATCTCCCTCCTCTGTGATAATTTGCTTCATAATTCCAGTTACATCTCACATTTCTGCATCACAGTTAGTTGGGTATTTTTATCTTTTTTACCTCTTCTTTGAGTAGTACCTCACTAGAGATGTAGGAAACAAATTAATAACAGGTGAGAAAAGACAGAAAAATAACGTGGTCTTGACAGTAGAGATGAGAGCAAGCTGTGTAACTGTCTGCACGTGGAAACAGCAACTCACTTAAGGAGTGTTCCACTGGAGGATGTAATTTAGAGATACATCCTGTCACCAGGGTTTAGGAAGCTTACAGATAGGCAGCTCACATGGATAGGTACGAGGGTAAATTAAAATAGAAATACTTCACAAGACTTTTCTAACCCCTCTGTTAGTCCTCCTTCTATACTATTTCAGAATATCCATCTGTGAATAACTTTAGACACTTTTCCACTCACTTTACGAGACCAAATTTAGAACAAAGGGTGTATGTATCTAGTTCATTGGATGACCACATCTGTTTAAATGAAGGTGGGTGGTTGGGAGTAGGATGGAGAGGAAAGAGAAAAGTATAGTTTGTGTGGGTATAGGATTTCTTAGGTTCCTCGGAATCTAGTTCTTTTGCATCGTATGTGATATCACCAATGACCATTTCATTGCTCTGCCCGGACAACTGTGAACATTCACAATCAGTTCTGCTCTCTAAGTATGAAGTTTATGGTGCCTCTTAATTAGAAGTAACTGACCCAAGTCAAACCTGGTTACTTCCTCCCTGGCTTTAGTAGGAATAGATTCCTCTGGTTCATTCACACCAGAATACCATTGCTAATTTATGAGGCCTGTCTGCAGTGTGACACTGGAATGTGGTGTTGGCAAATGGACATGGGGACATGCGCTGAGGGGAAGTGAAAGGAATCTCAGGCTTTATCTGAGGTCAAGGACTTCGGAATATAATACTCTCTGCTTTGGAAAGAGTAATAGCAAGGGTAAGAGGGAAGGCCATAAATTTATCACACCTGGAGCGAGGTCGATTTTGTGGTTGGGTAATAAATATCCTCCCCACTCTCATTATGACCAATTTTTATTCTTCCTACTTCCCTTCTTGATGCTTAACTCTTTAGAGTAGGCTGGCAATTAATTAATTCTAACTTAAGTTTAATTATTTATCATTTTCCTCAAGATAGCGAATATCTTTGCCATAGTTAGGGTTGATAACTGGCATCACATATTCCCAATATAGCCATATAATAAAGCACACTTGCTAAGATCGTGAAACAAACTGAGTTTGCCCATTCCCCTCATCAGGATGTTACTAGAGTTAACAGGAATAAAGAGTTGTGTTTGTTTTTCTTAAAAATAAAATAAAAAGTGCAGTACTGACAAGCCTGGTGAGATTGACAGTATTAGCAATACTATTTCTATTGGCAGTTCTCTGAAAAAAACACTTAGCCTGCCATACAGGACAAATTTATTCTCCAAAATCTACTTTCTTTTGGCTCTGATATATTTGTTCTTATCTCCCACTGTTTCAGGAAGGCATTTGCAAAGGTCAGACTAGAAGCAATTTTCATGAATTTTCTTGGTATTTTCAACAGCGGACAAAACATTCATGTTTTTGAATGCTGCCTAACTGCATGTAAAGGAGAGAGCAGTGTATCTGAGATTGCTGTGCTGAGAAATGCTCTGATTGACTGACCTGCCAAGGCACTAGATTGAGAGGTGGAACGTGTTCCCTCTATGTCTGATTAGAAACTCCACAGATATATAAATCTAGATGTAATGATCCAATCAGGCATGGCCCAAATAGATCACATTCCTGCATACAGCTGTGCTTGGAAAATGTCAGTGATTTTAGAGTGCTGCATTGTGGGCAATAGGAAATATAATTTGGGGTCCCTTTCTCTCATAACTGCTGTTTAGACAATGCTCTTGCAATTTTTCTGCCTGTATTTATTCTACATGGAACACACAGATGGCAAATGTTTGAATTTGGATTTAGAAGCCTGACCTCCTGGGAGGGAGGCTGTTGTCTTGTATATACCTGCAAAGGTTTCTCAGCCTGTACTGATACTGTTCACAGACCATAAAAATGCCAATTTAGACTCAGTGCCAATTTCACACAGGGAAATTTAGTAGTCAGGCATTATTGATGAGGTAGGTACCATGATATCACCAAAGAAATATCACTCTGAAGATGTAGTTTCAATATTCCTGCAATGGCAGCCCCTTTGCTTGTCTGGAATTGCTTTGGGTGAATCAGATAACTGTAGTTCAGCCAGTTATGATTGTAAATCCAAAGCTAATTTAATTTTAGACTTTCTAACTTTTCCTTGTTCAGGGCTTTCATCCTGAAAACCACTGGGCCTTCCAGTTGAAAAATTCTGTTAACTGGCTCGTGTTCCCCAAAATTTCCCAACGCTTCAGCACTATAGAGTTGAGCTGCACATGTTGGAAACCCTTCTCCTATTCTTTGTATATGAAGAGAGGGGCCAGAGGTCATTCTCCTTCCTTCTGGGATTCCTGGCAATTGGAGGTTCAGGTGCCCTTCTCAGCCTCCTCCTCTGCTCACAACAAGCATCGCTACATTCACAGTGGTGCAGAATTGGGAAAGATACTGGTGGGAACTGCTCTATTAACTCCCTCCCACTCTGCTGGCGCAGGGATAGTTGTTTTTGTGCTTTGAATGACCCGAAACAAGCATTTCTGTAGTCTCTCTGCGTTTCTGAGCTTTTCCAACAGATGTGCTGTGCAGATTCCCTATCAGGCAGGTTTATCCGCAGTTTTGGCGTGCGAAGGCGCACCAGTATGTATTGCAGCCTGCAGATGGCACTCGCAATGCACTGTAAAATCCTTTAGCCCCGCTAAAGGATTTAAACAGGGCTGATGTTTCCAATCCAAACTAACCAAACATTGTCTCGGAGTGAAAGGAAGCAGAAGTGGAAGCTGGCTCACACGCTGTCCCCTTGGTGTTCTCCCACCCCTGCCAAACCCTGCGTTGCTCAAGGTCACCCAGAAAAACAACCTTCCTATTTTTCCTTTTTAATGCAAAGCTGGGAGGTCCATGCTTTAATACAGGGTGGTGCTTGTCTTCTGTGTTTATGGGATAAGCTGCTCTGGGATCTGCGGA